ATATATATATATATATATATATATGAGACCAATGGTTTTTCATGAGACCCGTAAAAAAAATTCTCAACCCTTGACATTTGTGCAACCAATACAGCCTAATCTCAACCGTCCATTTCATTTGATTAATATGTGATTTCATAGAAGTTTTGATTGTTTCCTAATATAAAGTATTGATCATAATTAATGAAMCATATTCATATTCCATAAATATTCAAATCATAATAAATGAACTCTCATCATTTTCATAAATATCTCAATTTATTGGGTTGCATTGGTTGTACAAATGTAAATGGTTGCATTGGTTGTACAAATCACATATTCATCAAATTAAATGGACGATTGAGATTGAGTTGTATTGGTTGTACAAATGTAAATGGTTGTATAATAAGAGAGAGAGAGAGAGAGAGAGAGAGAGAGAATGTACTTCAAACAAGGGATGCTTTTAATCCGACCAACCCAACTCGAAATAATCCAATCCAACTCAACCTGAAACCATTTACTGCATAATCGAGTTGTAAAATATTCAAACGTTAGGTACCGTTTAGAATTGGGTTAGTACTATTTGAAGCCCAACTTGATGAGCCCGATATATTTTGATATAATGGATTGTCAAACACTTTTAAGTCCTTAATTAATATATGTAATTTTTAGGCTTAATAGAAAGTCTCATGCATGTATCTTTTAATATAATTGTTTGAACATAATTTTTTAACTAGATTAAAAAGCGATATACCAAAATTTCAACCCGACTATGCCAACCCAACCTGTACGGTTTGGGTTGGGTTGGGTTTTTGTTTGGTTTAGTTTGAATTGAAAATTTTCAAACCGTAAACATTAGGTTGGGTTGTTTAAATGTCTTCAACCCGGCTAACTCAACCCGTATTTTAAAATTTTGATTTCTAAGTTCTTTTTTTTACTAATTAATGTAACTATGGAAAAAAAAAATCAAATATCCTAATCTATCTCTTGTTTTTTATAAATATTTTTGGATGGTAAAAAACCATTGATTTTTTAATCCAATTTTCTACCTTGAAATCATTAACGATTTTACAATTTACAAATCTCATATGTAAAGACGAACATCATGTTCTATATTGGTTGTTTGAATTGTAATATTATTAGACGATGATAATTAGGTGTATATTGATATATGTGAAAATAAGTGAAATGCAACAAAAATTGGAGAGAAACAAAACAAATTACATCAAATAAACGATCACTTTATTATCTTTAATTTGACATTAATTTTGATATATTTTTCATCCTTTTTTGTGGTTCTTTTATTTTTCAAAGTTCTCTCTTGATCTTTACCATATATATATATATATATGGACCTAATCAAATGAGAACTGAATAGTTTGTGGTAACTGTAAGATCCAATCTCAACCACAAATCAACGGATAAATTAGGAAATTAATAATTATAGTAGTTTAAGTTAAAATTATAATTAGAGGGCATTTTAGGTATTTTTAAAAAACTTCTGTCTCCTCTCTCCTCTCTTCTCTCTCCTCTCTTATCTCTCCGACCTTCAATTTCCGGCCTCCGGTGAAATCGGTATCACAATATATCATAATGGGTATCACATTATGTTTCTTTGTTTTAAGGTTTGAGTTGGTATCATAGTTGGTATCACAATGGTATCACAATGAGTATCACATTGTGTATCTTTGTGATTACTTGGTACCTGCCGCATTAGTGTTTACCGGAGTCCGGAGATTGGAGGTCGGAGAGATGAGTTTTTTTTAAAAATATCTAAAATGCACTCTAATTATAATTTTAACTCAAACTACCATAATTATTAATTTCCTAATTTATTCGTTGATTTGTGGTTGAGATTGGATCTCACAGTTACCACAAACTAATCAGTTCTCCCTTGAATGGACCAATATATATAGGGTTGGGTTCACGTGAGAACAAGGTTTTTCGTGAGACCCGTAAGACCAATTTAATGGTCTAAAGTTGCAAGGTGACAATTTTGTAATTATTGAGAAGTCTCGTGGCGTTTATGAATGTTTAGATCTGACGATTGTAAATCTAATCCAAAGATTGAGAATTGGTCTTACGGGTCTAACGAAAAATCATTGGTCTCACGAAAAATATAGTGGAACAGACATGTTCCACTCTTATCGCATGGAACAAGGTGCAATAAACATGTATTTTATTAATGTACCATCAAAATAAGACATAATTCTCTTCTAATACATCATATACACCTCCTTTTTTTGCATTTTATCCATTTTCTAAATTTTGTTTATTGTATTTTATTATCTTTAAACTTTCAATTCACTGCACTCAAAATTCCAGTTTATACATTTTTATATTTTGATTAAATTATGTAATTTATCAAATATCATTAATAATAAAACTGTATAGAAAATGTATAAAATAAAATTTGAAAATTTCGTAAACTTCATATTTTGGTGCCAGTTAATCGTATTGACGAACATTTTCTAATGATATTTTTTTATAATAAATACTTTTATTATAATATTTAATAAATTAAATAAATTAATCGAAATATAGAAAAAAAAAATGCACATTGAGAGAAGTAAAACGAAAATTTAAGGAGGATAAAATATTTAATTCATTAGGTGTAAATTGATCATTTTATCAGTCATGTTCTATCCAGTCATTTCTAACCAAATACTGAACAGTCATCCTGTTATGTCTCGTTTATCATGTTTGAATAGCAAACAACATTCTAAGAGAACATATTATCTATACTATATTATAAAGCATTTGACAAAAACTCTTAAAAACAACTTTTTATGCATAAAGTACTGTTTATTGATGCATATTACTTAAAATTCAAGATTACAAGTAGAAAGTGCATGAGTACATTTTTTTTGAAAGGCTTAAAAAAAGGACAAGAAAGAGAACTACGACATGGCCATCACCCTCACCAAGCCAACCAATATAACAAAAAACAAAAGATCTAGCAAGAAGCTAGATACAAGGAGATACAAAAATCCAACGAAACAAGCGAGAACAACAGAACAAAACCAACAGCCCCAGACAAAAGACAGAGGCAAAACCCAAAACAAAGACAGACAAAAGAGACTAAACAAGATAAGGAGAGGTAGACCAACTATCCCAATTAAGATGGAACTTATGATTCCTATTACCCATCTATAGTTTGGATAAATTTTGAACACAAGGGAATGGGTCTTCATCTTTCTTCTTCATTATCGAACTATCCTCGGCATGAAGAATTTCATTCTGCCACCTTCAAAGTTGCCAAAGTGCCACAACGCAAACTGATAAGAAAGTAACCCCAACCTTGCGATGAGCTCCTACGTGTTTGATCAACATTTTAAAATCAGACACTGAGGATAGACGCGGAGCTTTAAGATCCCACCAGGCCCAAATTTTTCTCCAAATAATACTCGCCACCGGACAAGTAAAGAAACAATGGTCCATTGTTTCAACACCTTTACCACACAAAATGCACTCCAAAGATTGTAACGGAATCCCTCTCTTTGAAAGATTGAATCTTACAAGGATGGCCTCTTTAAGGAAGCGCCAAGTGAAAATGTTTATTAAAGCTCTATGTTTAAATTCGTATAACTAACTGTAGATAAACATAATCAAATACATGATAAACGTCATTTTAAATATAAAAATCTAAAATATAATAAGATAATCATTGAATTCTAACAGAATACTTAATTATTATCTTAAAAAAATATTTTATTAATCCAAAAATAAATTAGTTCGTTATTAAATTATTATAAAAAATTAAATTAAAAAAATTAGACAAAAATGAACTTTTAAGTAGTTAATTTGATACTAATATCCCTTTCTTTTTCAAAATTTTATAATATTGTCAAATTTATATTTCATTAAAAAATAAAAAAACATTTTCTTTTTTCTCAAAACCACATAATAACATCGATAGAGCCAAAATATAAAACGAAACATTAAAATCAAGATGTATTTCGCTGCATTGTGTAAATACCCTTCTAGTATTATATATATATATATATATATATATATATATATAATTAATATAATATGTTATAACTTTAAGAGCTAAAAAGAGAATTCTTATAACTTTGTAAAAAAAATATATTTTTAATTCTTTTTATATTCAACCTTTTTATTTAAAATGTATTGTTTTAGAAACCAACAATTGAGCTTTTGAAAAGTATATTTCTAAAT